TGTATGTATGTATGTATGTATGTATGTATGTATGTATGTATGTATGTCGAGGGAAACATACATACGTAGAAACTATGGGTATGTATGTATGTCTGGGTGATGTATGTCTGGGGAAACAGACATACCTAGAAACTAGAGGTATGTATGTATGTCAAAGGTATGTATGTCTGGGGAAACAGACATCCCTGGAAAATGATAGGTATGTATGTATGTCGGGGAAACTTACATACCTAGAAAACTATAGGTATGTATGAATGTATGTTTGGGGAAACATACATACGTAGAAACTATGGGTATGTATGTATGTCTGGGGAAACATACATACCTAGAAACTAGAGGTATGTAGGTATGTCAAAGGTATGTATGTCTGGGGAAACATACAGACCTGGAAAATGATAGGTATGTATGTATGTCTCGGGAAACATACATACCTAGAAAACTATAGGTATGTATGTATGTCTGGGTGTGTGTCTGGGGACACATACATATATGTATGTCTGGGGAAACATACATACCTAGAAACTAGAGGTAGGTATGTATGTCAGAGGTATGTATATCTGGCGAAACACCCATACCTGGAAAATGATAGGTATGTATGTATGTCTGCGGAAACATACATACCTAGAAAACTATAGGTATGTATGTATGTTGGGGCTAACATACATACTTTGTTTTCGGGGGTTAGTAAGTATCTGGCAGGCATCCCCTGGCTCCCCCCCCCTATCAAGGTATGTATGTATGTATGTATGTCGAGGGAAACATACATACGTAGAAACTATGGGTATGTATGTATGTCTGGGGAAACATACATACCTAGAAAACTATAGGTATGTATGAGTGTATGTCTGGGGAAACATACATACGTAGAAACTATGGGTATGTATGTATGTCTGGGGAAACATACATACCTAGAAACTAGAGGTATGTATGTATGTCAAAGGTATGTATGTCTGGGGAAACATACATACATACCTAGAAACTCGAGGTATGTATGTATGTCAAAGGTATGTATATCTGGGCAAACGTACATACCTGGAAAATGATAGTTATGTATGTATGTCTGGGGACCCATACATACATACCTAGAAACTAGAGGTATGTATGTATGTCAAAGGTATGTATCCCTGGGGAAACATACATACCTGGAACATGATAGGTATGTATGTATGTCTGCGGAAACATACATACCTAGAAAACTATAGGTATGTATGTATGTCTGGTTGTGTGTCTGGGGACACATACAGACCTGGAAAAATATAGGTATGTATGTATGTCTGGGGAAACATACATACCTAGAAACTCGAGGTATGTATGTATGTCAAAGGTATGTATATCTGGGGAAACATACATACCTG